AATAACTTGTAACCAACATTAAACTTGTATTTGGTTTTTATGTGGAAAAACTTAGGTTCATTAATCTGGAGTATTGAGATTTACAATTTATTGAAAGAAAAACTGAAAATCAATTTAGGTTGCATATGTGTCATGTGTGGAGAATAACCCTCTAGCTAGTCCGTCATTTATCTTTTCATCTTAATTTCATGTTTTTGTAAATTCTGTAATTTATTTAAGTTTAATTTACTTCTTGTTAAAACCAAACACCCACCCATTATTAAATTATATTATTTAGTCAATTTTCATTATTGTTAGTCTTTTAATTAAATTTCCGTCCATTTCAGTTCCTAGTGTCTAATTTGATTGTTTTCATTATTTTGAATCATTCTAAGTGTGTTTCGAGTTATTAGAGTTTTTAGCCTAGTTTTGTATATCCTTGAGTCTTGTTGTTTAATATTTTTTAAATTAATTTAGAATAGATTAGCAATCCCTCCTAATCCCCGGCCTAGAACGATACCCTACTTACATCCATACTACAATTGTCAAAAAGAGGGTTTAATTTGTGTGTCAAGTAATTTTCACATCATCCACAAATGTCCCCCTGGATCCGTTGTAGAAAAATGGGAGGATTCGAACGAATCTTGTCATAAGAAGGCTTAGTAATAAGCTTTCCCATAGAACATGTTTGACATGCGATTTCATGGATCGAACCTAAGCTTCGGGTTAGTGGATGCCTGTGTGAAGTTTTGAGGATATGGCACATCGCTATTCATCCAGGATGTCCCAAACGATCATGCCAAAGTGTAATTTCGTGTGCGGTCCCTGTGGTAAGGCCGGCCACATAGTGGCATTCGATGGGGCGTATGGTCGTATTATATAGACCACTCGGGTTACGCTCCATCTTCTCTAGAATACGCTTCTGGCCATATTCGTAGGAAGTTACGCACATAAATTTAACTTCGTTTTCTACGTGGATTTCAGCGTGGTAATTGTTATCTCTAATGTCCTTGAAACTTAGTAACTTTCTTTGGGAACGTGGAGAATAGAGTGCCTCAGCAATGGTCAAGATTGTACCATTTGACAACATTATACGTGCCTTACCGTATCCTTCTATCAGGTTGGATGAGCCTGAGAGGGTTGTCAGAGGTGCATTCTTAGGTATGAAGTTAGTGAAATAGATGCGTTCACGCAAAACAGTATGAGTGGTTGCACTATCTGCCAGACAACTAACTTTCCCACTAGTCATACCTAGAATGAAAAATTAATTTGAATTGGTCACATGCATAAAAGTTTATAAAAACAAGTATCAATTCAAAATAATTTCATTTATTCAAGGATTAAAACTGAATATCCAAAATAAATCGCCAACTAATAATCCAAAACATAAAGGAAAATTGTTCAAAATCAACCAAAAACAAGGTGGGGTGCGGCCACTAGGTGGAATTCGGCCCCAATTATCTTATTTCAACTAAAAAAAGAAGTCTATGTCTAAGATTCTAATCTTCCATAGGAGTGGTATCCTCCTGAAAGTCAGAAACCTCCATCTTTGTAGTCTCCGGTTCGTCCACTTGCATGAAGTTTGATTCAAACTTCTTACGACGAGAATGATATTCATCTACAACCTTCTTGGGAGCACGGCAAATACGGGACCAATGGTCCTTTGAACCACAACGATAGCACATATCGTCATTCATTGTGGCAAGTGTTTTGCCCTTATTCTTGAAGTTCGGGGCCTTGGGAGCGAGGTTTGGGCGCTTCTAGGCTTTGTTTCCTCCCTTGGATGAGCCTTGACTCTGTTGACCTTGGTGGGATGGCTTCTGGGCGCCCTTACCACGCTTCTTTTGGCGTTTTGGGTGCTGATTAGTGCTATAATGTGCTTCCGGCACAGTAGTAGCCCCAGTAGGTCGAGCTTGATGATTCTTCATCAACAGTTGGTTCTGCTTTTCAGCAAGAAGTAAAACAAAGATCAAATCCGAGAACTTAGTGAACTTCTGAGCTCTATATTGTTGCTGCAGGATAATATTAGAAGTAGAGAAGGTCGAGTAGGTCTTCTCCAGGAGATCCTCTTCAGTCAAAGTTTCATTGCAAAACTTGAGAAATGATCGGATTCGACAAACTTCGGAATTATATTCATTCACAGACTTAAAGTCTTGGAAGCGCAAGTGCTGCCAGTCGTGTCTTGCTTCAGGCAAGAATATGTCCTTTTGGTGATCGAAACGATCAGCCAAAGCGACTCATAATGCACATGGATCCTCCTCAGCAAGGTACTCAGTTTGCAGAGCGTCATGAATATGTCTTCGGATGAAGATCATAACAGTGGCTTTTTCAGCTTCGCCAACAGGTTCAGTTATTGCTTCTTCAATAGCAGGACGCAAGTTCTTGGCAGTGAGGTGGAGCTTCACATCTTGAACCCACTTGAGGTAGTTCCTTCCAGAGACCTCCAAAGCGGTGAAGTCGAGTTTGTTCAAATTCGACATGTTCCTATCACAAATGGATGGACAAGATGTGGTTAGTGTAATGGAGAAAAATCAATCCATTCACATAGGAGTAGAACATACAGGTTCTAATAGACATGTATTGGTTTAATTTTGCATGAAAAACTTCGGGTTTTCATGGGTGATATGTTTAAGAGAAAACTTCAGGTTTTCAAACAAGGCTTGTTTATAAGAAACTTCGGGTTTCAAAGTAATTATGAACTTCAGGTTCATATATTCCTGCAGGCAAACACAAATATATATGCAAACAAATATGCAACAAGTATATGCAAAAAATATTGTATAATTATAATTGAATTAATTTTATTTGGTCTTCGGTGCCAAATTAAAGTGTGGGTGAAAATATAAAAAACCATATTATTTAAAAATATTAAATAATAAAATCTCGGGCCTAAAAATATGGGCAAAGCCCACAGGTGGCTCACGGGGAGACATGGGCAAGGGGAATGGGCTGCTGTGTGCAGCCCCAAAAAAAAAATTTCTTTTTTTTTCTCACGGGTCGCTTCAGGCGAGCCCAAAAAAAATTTTGTTTTTTTTTTTCTTTTCTTTTCCCGCACGGGCTGGGCCGTGACATCTCAGAGCAGTATCAAGCCCAAAGGGCGCTGATGCAGGCCGAGGGACAGGATCCCACTAAGGCTCGGGTTTTTGGGATCAAACACCCTAGCGAGTGCTGGGTGTGTCGCCGAAGAAGAACACCGGACCTGGCGCTTCTGGCGTCGGTCGGGGTTTTGTTTAAGACTCGATTTGAGTCATGGTGACCATGGGGGTGAACGGAGATTTGAAAAAAATCTCGATATTCATTGTAAAACCCTAGAAATTCGATTGTAATTTAAAAAAAAAATCGAATTTTCAGACAAAAATTCGTTGGGGACGATTGCAGGTCGTCGGGGGTAACTGGGCATGGCTACAGGCCATGTTGGTTGACGATTTCATGGGTGGCGACGCCTTCTGGGCGTCGGGTCTGGGTGTTGGGCCTGGAGCCGTGGCTCCAGGATTGGTTCTCGGCTCAGGAAAGCATGGGGGATGGGTTGGGCCATCGCAGGCTGCGGGCCTGGTGGCTTGTGGCTTGCATGGTGCAAGTGCACGGGTTCGAATAGAACCCTAATTTCTCAATTCCAATCTTTTCCAATTCAATTATATTATATGCATGTATAATTCAATGGATCACATATTTACTTTGATGCATATGCAAATAATAGTTTCAATGCATGTGCATATGTAAGATTCAATTCATGACAAATATCAAATTCACATAATTGTAGCAATTTTGGTTATGAAGCATACACAATTTATGTAGAATCTAAAATACGTGAAACATAAAGTTGGGTCATGCATCATGGTGAATGTTCATGCTATCAGGGCTTGCAAAATATCGAGTTAAAAGCTGTTGTTCGGAAAGAACCTGATTGCGTGATGATATGGATGAACTGGTTTGATGCAGAAAAAAAATCTCCAACGTCAGATTCCTAAGCGCAGCGGTAAGAGCGTGATAACGTGTTGTGGTCTATTTTTATCTGACAAAATAGAGAGGGCCGACGGCAGTGGGAGAGAGAAGAGAGATGTGTGTTTGTAGAATTGTAGGGGAATGTGTGTGTTGTTATCCCTCCTACATTGTGCCTTTATTTATAGTAGTAAAGGGAGATAAGATATTCCTTCTCCTCCAAGTAATACAAGTTGTAATAGGAAAGGATAACTAGAATCAAATCTAATCTAGGATTTACACAATCATACTTATTCTAAGAATGTTTACAACAATAATATCTTTCTATGATAAACAAAACAATAAAACATACACGCATTTTTTAGCATACATTTTGTTGCTCAATTCAATGTTAGACATAATGAATACAAGAAAAAACTTTCTTTTTGTCTTATCTTATGATTTTAAAGTGTATAAAGTTTCATTTCTGATTCACTTCATAATGTATTTTAACGATTCAACCGTTTATCTTTTCGATCTTTCTTTACTATCTTGTCTACCAAAAATCAGCCTAATTTGAAACGGAAATTATATGACTGTTAAATTAAATGATGGCCATTTTAGTGTTTCTTTGCAAAACAGTGTTCGTTTATTTTTTTCACTACAAGTGAATGTTTCAATAATTTTATATTTGTCTCAAGTAAGTTTGTTACTAGGGTGGCAAGTGGTCCTCTACCACAGTGGTGGAGAGAAGCGTTGTCTTTGCATCATGACGTGAGTTCAAATTCTGTTAGTTTTTAATCTAACATCTAATTTAACAAATATATCATTTGATAAAGAAAAAGTTTGCAACTAGGGTGGGCAAACGGGCCTTGAGCTTGAGGGTCGGGATGAGTATGGAGCGGGTTTAAATATTTTGGAGAAGAAACGGGGCCAGTAGGGGTGGGTTCAAACCGAACACCAAACCAAAACCGAAAAATCAATAATAGAAAAAAAATCAAACCGAATTAGAAAATCGAACCTAACCAATTTCGATAAGTTTAGTTTTGATTTTAAGAGTTGAGAAACCTAACCGAAGTGGACCGAACCGAAGTGGACCAAACCGAAGTGGACCGAACCGAAATCGTGTAAGAGGACGCAGTTTTGTATTTCATTTAGCCCTAGTCCCTAATCCCCGCCTCGCTGCGTGCTCACTCGCTCCCCTCACCCCACGCCGTCTCGCCTAACCCCGCGGGCTTCCTCTTCCCCTCGAGTCCTCGACGTCGACCTCGCTGTGTCTTCTCTCGACAGTTAAAGCTCGATTCTCAGTTCAAAGCTTGATTCGTGGGGATTAAAGCTCGACATCGATTCGTGGGGATCAAATTCCACCTGCAATTCCAGGTGAGTCTCTTCTCTCCACACGTTCTCTGCAATTCTATCTGATTCTATGCAATTCGAGCAGATTTTGATCATCTGATTCTATTGCAATGATCACTCTCAGGAGTCGCGACCTGTGAGCTCGCTTCCTCTCCGTCTCAGACCTGTTTAGGCACTCTGTGTGAATCATTCTCAGGTACGTTTTAGCTGTTCCTTCCTTTTTCGACTTGTTTGGTTTCCGAGAAAATTCGAGGAAAACGAAACTTTTAGGAATAAAATTTGTATCTTGTTTGCATGCTTTGATTCGACTCAAACAAAATATTAGGAATAAGTTCTGTTTCCGATAGTTGTGTACCCTGTGCGAAGGGAGTGGAACAATGAAATTTCGAGGGACGAGAGTCAGCCTCGGTCCCAAGTATGAAATTTTCATGGTTTTACAGAACCATCCACATGCCCATAGGACTTTGTCTCACTAGGCTGCACAATCTGGAAAATTCCAGATCGCTTTTGGGACACACTGCTTGATCTGTCCCCTCTCTGATTGTCTCATATGAGTTCTTGCTTGCACACTTCCCTTCTTAGCGCTCTGTTTACCCGTTGGCTTGCTACATGCTCGCGTTGTTTTCTGTTCAGGGGTGCCCTTAGAAGCACCTGGTGCAACTCCATCAGATACTAGTGAACCTCCAGAAGAAATATCTTGTGAGATATTTGCATCCAGCTGGCCTGAACCAGAATTTTGTATAGATTGTTTAGGATTCGTTTGTGTCCATTGTTAGAAGTAAGTGCGAGTTCACTCAGTGCCTATTTCCCCAATTCAAACACTCGAATTAGGGTTTCAATTCAGTTTCCGGCTTCTGCGCCTTGGACCTTGGACTGTGTCATTTTTTAGGGTTTGTATACATTTCTCTTCTCTTCTCTTCTCTCTCTCTCTCTCTCTCTCTCTCTCTCTCTCTCTCTCTCTCTCGTGATGCTTATTTAATTTAGTATAATTTATGATGTTAGTTTGTAAGAGGTCGCACTTGGTGCGATGGCAAGTGCCTTCGCCCATGAGCGGTAGGTCTCGGGTTCGAGACTTGGGAGCAGCCTCTCCATAAATGGGGGTAAGGCTAGCCGACATTCACCTCTCCCAGACCCTGCGTAAAGCGGGAGCCTTGTGCATTGGGTACGACCTTTTTTATGATGTTAGTTTGTAATTTGTACACGCTGTTGAATGCAAAATATATTTTTTGTTCAATTTTTAATTCCTGGGTTTTGTAATTACATTACTGGGTTTGGAGTTGGACGCTATTTTTGGGTTCTTATTGTAATCAATTTGAAATAAGGGGATAATATTGAGATGATTGGACCATGAAAGTTTTATTTGTTTGGCTGCTCTTATCAGAAAATGTAAACACGAAGTGTTGATATTTCTTGCTATGCCTTGACTGAGAGCATCTTGAAATTTGAATGCGAAGCAATTAACTATTTGTGTATTCGGTTTTTCAATTCAATATCAGAAATATTGCTAATAATTGATACCCTGATGCACCCGGAGATTTTACAGGGTTTTATGTCTGCTTGAGTCATTGATACTCCATTACTCCCAGCAGGGTTAATTTCACTATAAGGATTGTCTGGTTTTTATTGTTAGGGCCACAGGAGAGCATTTCTGCATGTTCTCCTGACGAGAGTACTCTTTCACTTTAGTGTTGCTTATGTTTTCTTTTTTTCATTGTCTCTCTTGAAACAGGTGTAGATTTGCATTAACCATGGTTGATGTGGAACAAGTTCTGGAAAGTGATGCACCAAGCTCTCTAATCGATCAGCTTGGTGACGCATTACTGGAACTAAATGCACACAATGATACTTCTGAGGACCAGGTTCAGTGGGAAGAAATTGAAGAGCATTTCCGCAACCTTGAGACAACACTGAGGAAGAATTTTGAAGAGCTTGAAGCCAAGGAGAAGAAATTTGCGGAGCAGGAAGCTGAAACCTGTGCTTCACTTGCGGAGAGAGAGGCAGCTGTTATTGCTAAAGAGCAAGACCTTTTGGATCGAGTGCAGGAGCTAAAAGATGCAGCTGTTACTGCTATTTTTGAGGCACGAGTCATTCACCAGCCAACAACTTCAAAACCTGTGGATGATGGGGATAACAAAAACAGCAAGGTAAGCAGCTCTCTTGGTGATACAAATTCATCAGAGGAGGATTTTCCTCATAAAACAGGTGATAATGCTGAGGGTATGGCTTCTGAGGTTAAGCCACGCCCAGCACTGATGAAATTTTGCGAGCAGATGGATGCAAAAGGGCTTCTGAATTATGCTACTGAGAATTATAAAAAACTAAATGTTATTCGTGAGGAACTTTCTGTTGCACTAGAAAGTGCAGGTGAACCAGCACGATTGGTGCTGGATTCACTGGAGGGGTTTTACCCTCCGGATGAGACTAACCAACCAGAGGGTAAGAAGGATGCTGCCCTTCAGGGCATGCGCAGATCCTGTCTAATGTTTATGGAAGCCATGACTGCCTTATTGGCAAAGGTTGACCCAGGTGCTGATCACCTTTTGAACCCTGACACCAAGCAGCAAGCCAAAGCAATTGCTGATGAGTGGAAGCCTAAGTTGGCTAGTGATGCTGCCAATGGAATTTCATTGGAAGCAGAGGCATTCTTGCAGCTCCTCGCTACTTTTAGGATTACTTCTGAGTTTGATGAAGACGAACTCTGCAAGTTTGTTCTTGCAGTTGCTCACCGCAGGCAGACACCTGAGCTCTGCCGCTCTCTTGGTTTAACACACAAAATGCCAGGTTGGTCATCTTTTAACTAACTGACGTGATGCGCTCTGGGGGCTAAAGCTCTGTTTAAGATGTCCCTTACGCTATATTCCTTTCGGCCTTGATAATAAATCATGTTAGTTTAGAAGTAGGGATAGATGCAACATTCATTTTGCTGCGTTGTGATAATTCTTCTCTGGTAAGATGGGTCCTTTGGATTTTGGGATCAGATTATTCTAAAGCGCTATAGTTTCTTGCAGGTCTTGTTGAATCAATGGTCAGCGGTGGGAAACAAATTGATGCTGTACGGTTTATTCATGTCTTCCAGCTTACTGAAAGTTATCCCCTTGTGCCACTTCTAAAGACGTACTTGAAAGACTTGAGGAGAAATTCACAAGGGGACAGCACAGGAGATGGTACTGGTGCACAGGTATATTTTAGTCAGTCAGAGACTCGAACCATTTCAGTAAAAAAGAACTTTTCTGATGATTTTTTGTTTTGTTTTTGTTTCAATAAAATGTAGGATGATGTTAATGCAAAAGAGCTTGGTGCACTGAAGGCCGTAATAAGGTGCGTGCAAGAGTTCAAGCTTGAGGCTGACTACCCCCTTGATCCGCTACAGAAAAGGGTTCATCAACTAGAGCGATCCAAAGCTGATAAGAAGAGAAGTAATGAATCTAAACGTCAACAGCAAAAGAAGCAAAAAATCAGTGGAAGATGGCGTGGTTACCGTGGCCCAGGTGTTGCTGCAACCTCTGCCCCGGCTGCTGCTAGGCACGGGCAACCTGTTTTTGGTGATAGGGCGGGATATGGTGGGATATTGGAGAGGTATGCTCAGCGTCCACTCGCATACGATTACCAAGTTCCCAGCCAGGCTGCTTATGTTCCACAAGCTAATGATCAAAGGTTATATTACTATCCCCAAGACGACAGAGTCAAACCAGCCCCGTTTAATGCTACTCCATCCAATTATGGCGGTTACGCTGGCAGTGGAATGCAGCCTCAGCACCAGCCGTACATGTAGCCTTGTATTTTGATGTGCCTTGCAGATATATTGGCTGCTCGGAATCTGAAAGAATATTTTGTTTTGGCTGCGATACCAGCTGGTGAGAAATTTGTAGGAATTAACTTTTCTAGTTAAAGAGGCTATGAAGATCTCCATGACAGAAAAGCATTGTACTGAAAATTTTTGCTCTTTGTCAACGTACAAGTCTCTTTGTCAACAATAACATAGACTATTTACGTGCAAGGAGTTGTTCCTCCGTAACGGTTAAGCATAGAAAACTTTTTTATAAAAGAGATATGCCCCAAAATGATCAATTAATATATGTTTGCTATGTCGTTTATATTTGAATTTAATCAGGTCAACAATTAAAATCTGATATCTGACCATCTTATAATTTAAACTAAACTATTAGTAAAATATCGCTTGAATAAAAAGTAAGATAATTTTGAAAGATTTAACTTTGGGTTGTTTTATTCACACCCCACGTTTTGTTGAGTACACCTCACGTACTTAATGCACCTCACATATACTTTTTAAATCAAAATTTATCTTAATACACCCCACGTTTTTCCAGTACTACCCTCATATCCCACATACTATGTATACATCCCACACTCTCTACTTAAACCCTCCATCAAACTCTTCGTAAGTTTTATAAACTCGTCTTCTTCGCAAAGAACAAAAGGCGATGAACAATCAAGGGAACTAGAATCAAGTATGAAACAAAAAATTTCCCCTATTCTTTGATAATTTGATTGCATATAAGATTGTATTGTTCCTTCTCTGTCCGAATAATATGGATTCACATGCACAATTTTTTTTTCCTTTCACCAATTCCAAAATTTCTCTTATCAGGGAATCAAGCAAATTGAAGATCAGCAGAACAAGGATGAAAAATAATCTTTTTCCATCAACGTTTTGTGTTTTTGGTTGTTAGGGTTTTGTTCTACAATGAAGAACGTGAATGACTTTGAGAGCTTGAAGAGAAACAATCTTAGAATACACGTCTAAATTAACTTGGGGGTGTATTTAGAAAATAATTTTCTTTTTTTAAATTTTATTAGGCCTAAATGGTCATTTTATATTAGGTATATAAGCTACGTAACAATAAACTTTTATGTGGGGTGTATTCAACAATATGTGGGGTGCTAATAAAAAAACCCTTAACTTTTTATGTTTGAATTATTTGAAAAAAAAAAAAAAAAAAAGTCGATGAAAAAGAGAAATTATGGAGTGGTAATGGTATACAAACCAAAATAACTGACGAAAGAGGAAATAAAAAAGAACAGAAAATTATTTTCTTGTTTCTCTCCAAGTAATTGTAATTTGGTCAGAAATTGAAATAACTAAATTTGGTGTCGTGCACGACTCTGACTTCCTTCCCTTTGTTAAAAAACTCCGTTCTTTCACTCGATTTCCGATCTGGCATCTTCGCCACCACTCCTCACCTTCCAGCTGCACTAATGGCAGCAACACTGCGCCACCTCACCACCTCCGCTTCCATCTTCGCCGTCCTCCTCCTGATCTTCTTAGAGATGGAGCTTTTGTGTCTGGTCACGTCCAATCCCAGCACCCCTGCCCTCATTCTCCACTCACTCCCAGCCATGGTCTTACCTCTCTACCACTCCACTCCAAATTCGTCGTCCCGGACGTCATCGTCGTCCAATCCCCGGCGCCTCCTTGGGAGATCGGAGTCCATCAGCCGCCCCAACGCCCGCATGAGCCTCTACGACGATCTCCTACGCAATGGGTACGCTAAAATTTTCCTTGTAATATTCGGATTGAGTTTGTGATTGGTAGTATTTGGATTGGGATTGAAATTTGTGTGGTGGTGGTGGTGGCCGCGGCGGAGACAGGTACTATACGACGCGGCTTTGGATCGGAACGCCGCCGCAGAAGTTTGCGCTAATTGTGGATACTGGGAGCACTGTGACCTATGTGCCTTGCTCTTCTTGCGAACAGTGTGGCAGACACCAGGTAATTTTGTGCTGCATGACATTCTTCATCTACTACCGAATCTGAATGTGTAAACATGGCGATGCGAAATAGGAATGTTGGGATAGAGTTGATTTCGAAACCGCATGTTGGGATAGAGTAGCTAGCTACATTGTGAGGCTGGGATGAGATCTCCTTAGTTTTACACCGAGTAATTGGGCTAATGTAAATCATGCTCACCTTGTTAACGAAAAGAAACATATACCAAGATGTTATAATCACGGGAAAAACTAGAACCAAGACTCACCGGGAAATTTTGGATGAAGGCAGTCGATCATGTTCACTCTATAACTGAAAACAATAGTTGGATTAACAACCCTTAGGTTGGTTATTTCTGTTTACCACAAAACTTTCCTCAACACTAAGTACTTTTGTGTGCAGAGGAAACTTGGTAGATTTCAGGTTGTAACTATATTAATGTTCTGTTTTTAACCTTCGATCAGGACCCCAAGTTCGATCCAGAAGGCTCAAACACTTACCAAGCTGTCAAATGCAACATAGATTGCACTTGCGATAATGAGAGGGTGAATTGTATTTATGAGAGGCAATATGCCGAAATGAGTAGTAGCAGTGGGGTGCTTGGTGAGGATCTTATATCCTTTGGCGATCAAAGTGAACTACCACCTCAACGTGCAGTTTTCGGTTGTGAAAATTTTGAAACTGGTGATCTTTACAGCCAGCCTGCTGATGGCATAATGGGATTGGGCCGTGGCGATCTGAGTGTGGTCGACCAACTTGTTGATAAAAGCGTAATAAGTGATTCTTTCTCATTATGTTATGGTGGAATGGACATTGGTGGAGGTGCAATGGTTCTTGGTGGGTTTTCAGCCCCGTCAGACATGGTCTTCACTCGTTCAAACCCAGTACGAAGGTGTGTGGTTTAGAAAAATTTCTTACATAGACTGCAACATGTCCAATTTCCTAAAAAAAAATACAATCTATACATCTCACACATTTACTCTAGTTTCGGGATGGCAACAGTCCATACTACAATATTGATTTGAAGGAGATGCATGTTGCGGGAAAGCGATTGCCTTTGGATCCAAGTGTCTTTGATAGAAAACATGGAACAGTCTTGGACAGTGGTACAACATATGCATACCTACCAGAAGCAGCATTTCTGGCATTTAAGGATGCTGTAAGATTCTCTTTTGCCCTTATTAATTACCCTTCAGATTACATTTTGACTTAATTTTCGTACATGACCATATAATTAAATATTTTTGCTTATCCTCAATCTTTTACATGATACCTTGCAAATATTTCTAAATGATAATGATTGCAAACCTCTTTTTAAACTTTGAGTTGGTGAACATTTGGTCAACTAGAACTGACAGAGAGGATGATCTTGTCCGAGTTAAAGGACATAATTATTATGTATGATCAACCCAAAACTCCGTTATATTTTAATTGTAGTTTGGGTGGAATACTTGCACTTCTTCATTTGAAACACTTTGGTTTCCCAGAAAATCCCTCTGTGTTTATTTTTGGCTGATTGCAGGTTTAGTTATCTTGTATTTCATCCTATTATTTAATTTCTTCTTTCATTGAGTGCAGATCATGAAGGAGCTTAATTCCCTCAAGAAAATCCCTGGCCCTGATCCAAATTTTAATGATATATGCTTTTCCACTGCTGGAAGGTATCATACAGTACTAGGTTTAATTGGTTGTTCAGATAAATTAATTGCCTTTTTCTAGTGGAAACCAAATGATAAGAAACCCTATTGAAGCCACAATTGCAAAATCCACATTTTTGCAATTAAATCGTGAGTAATGTCCGACCAATAAATGCTCAAGTTTCTTTCTAATGATTTCTCAATGTTGATTTAGTGCTGTCTCCCACCCATCAGACACCTTTCCAAAAGTTGACATGATATTTGGCAATGGCGAGAAGTTGACTCTATCTCCTGAAAATTATTTATTCAGGGTAAGTGATTGAACTTAAAAGCTCTCCCCCTTTCTGAATTATGAATATAATGTTTTCGCAAATGTAAACACAATATGTAACTTTTTATGTTTTATAGAACTTTGTGATTGTCTGTTGGTTATGTCACTAATTAATTGTTTTTCTACTGTGTTATATCATTATCATTAATGAAGCATTCAAAGGTCCATGGTGCATACTGCCTGGGGATTTTTCAAAATGGAAAGGATCCAACTACTCTTTTAGGAGGTATATGCTTTAGAAAGGTCCATAATTCTTCGTCCCACTTGTATATGTGTTCGTGTACATGTATTGCCCTGTTTCATGTTATATCAATCGTTTAGGTTTTGCTATAGTTTCAATTAATTTTGTCGTACAATATCATTTTCTTGATAGGAATTGTTGTCCGCAATACTCTTGTAATGTATGACCGTGCGCATTCCAAGATTGGTTTCTGGAAAACCAATTGTTCAGAGTTGTGGGAAAGACTTAATGAATCTGTTTCGCCTCTACCAATGCCTCCTGCTTCAGATGAAAAGAATTCAACTAGAGAAGCTCCAACTGGAGCACCACCTTATGTACTTCCAGGTAGTTTAGACTTGCAACCTTTTGAGTAGCTTTTATGCTACATTTCTCTAGCTTTATATCATTCTCATCGTGGAAGTTATTTAGGTGAATTTATCCTGTTACCCAAATCATTCATTGGAAAACGAGACAGAATTGAAAATTATACTTTTGTGGACACTCTGCTCTACTTAAGGTTTATTTTTGGACCGTCTGTTAACTGTTTCTAATTATTTTTGTATCAACACGAATTGTATTTTGCGCTGCACAGTTTTTGGACAAGAAACAACATCTATTTGCAACCCCTTTTTTGTTTTATTTTTTAAGACAATTGAATTACAATACCTGTTAACCTTGATGAATCAGGTGAACAGGAAGTTGGAAAAATAACATTTGATATGTCTTTGAACATCAGCTACTCTGATCTGAAGCCCCACATTACAGAACTAGCTGAATACATAGCTCAGGAATTAGAAGTTAACACATCACAGGTCTGGCAAAAAACCATATGCGAACATTCAATTGATATTTGCTTTATACTTTTTGACTAACAGTTCAAATTCAATACTATGCACTGATATATCTGTTCATAATGAAGTTTTATAGCTTAAGTTTTCAATTTCGAATTGATGATTTCAGGTCCATTTGTTGAAGTTTACTACCAGTGGAAATGATTCCCTTGTTAAATGGGCCATATTTCCTGCAGCTTCTACCGACAGTATTTCTAATACAACTGGGCTGGTAAGTTTCCCCTGATGAATTGCAGCTAGTGACTGTGCCACTACCGAGGTTTATAACTGTTTGCAAG